TAATTCACTGTGACAGCACATGAACCACCAGTGGAGGACAGAACGTGACAACACAGCTGTACAAATCCATGGAAAACAATAAATGCAAACCCTGGTACCTACCCTGCCCACAAGTTCCTTGGGGATAATGAAAGATAAGGAACAGCCAGGCCCAGGTGAGTTACCACAAGGTCCTACAGATATTTGTTATCTTTTCCCCCAGGTTTAACCCCCTAATCACTTTATTACCATAATTGCTTTTTACTCTCCAGGTAGTAAATCAGCAGTGTACAACAGGCACTCCATCCAGTGACACACTGTCAGTCAGGGCTTACCTTTAAAATATTCAACTTGCTTTTAAAATATTTAACTTACTTTTAAAATATTTAACTTCTTCAGGCTACCCAGTAACTCGCTGGGGGTTACCAAGGCCCCGAGAAGGGTTTTAATTCTTAAGCAGATGTATGAAACTGAACCCCTCCTAAGAGCTCACATTTTTCAGGTAACCCAGAACATCTTCAGGTGTTTTAAGTGCTTTTGTTGGGTATTTGACCTTGAAAATCAACCAGCACCATAAGACCCTGTGCTATATCGAGCATACAGTGCCCAAAGGTGCATTTCTTTCCCTGGGGATGGTTACAGGGAGTAGACTTATATCAATTTTCTTCAGGCTGAGCACCAAGGTGAAGAATCTGTCTTGCTCAGACCATCACACTTCATCTGTGGTGGCTCATTCCCATCCCACAGTGAATTAAGTCACTATCTTAAAAACAAGGACCTGTCTTTCAAAACTTCCTATGCTGGGACAAATTCCCAGTTTAAAGCCTCATCACTTTAAAATTCCCATTTTAAGGGCTGTGTTGTCTCCTGGCTCTCCAAGGGGAGCTGCAGTGGCTCTGCAGGGACACAGACCTGGGATTCCTCTCACAGAAAAGCCTTTATTCACTTTACTAAAGTTATGCCATTTCCATTCTGCTTCCTGTTTCCCGTCCTTCCTGTTCCTTCCTGGAAACCAACAGGACTCTACACTGAAGTGTTCCAAAAGTAGGTGGTGCTCTCTCTCCAGCTTCTCCCCCATTCCCTGGGGGATTGGTAAACGTGAGCTGCGGGAATTGACGTGCACAGGGTTTATTAGTGACTAATCTGAGATCTTAACTCCTGAAAGTGCTGAGTTCTCAGATGTCTTCTTGTTCTATCATCCTAAGGAGCACGAAGAATTACTTTAAAAACACATGCCAGGCCGTGTAAAACCTTCCTCTGGTGCACAGACAATAAGGACAGGAAGTTTTCCTGAAGGGCAGGGAGGATCCTTGGAAACAAATCCCGGTGCAGGTGGAAAAGCATTTGCCTGAGTGAATCCCATTTCTTTTTCCGAGGAAAAATTTCTCCCCTGTGTGGGTGACCATGCACAGGAACAGATTGCCCAGAGAGGGTATGGAGTTTCCCTCACTGGAGATATTCCAGAACCACCTGGGCAAAATCCTGTGGAGATTGGACCAGATGACCCACTGTGGTCCCTTCCAACCTGACCCATCCTGGGATTCTACGACATGTTGTCACATCCCCACATCCTCAGTTAAGCTTGGGCTTTCCTGTGTGAAGATGTGCAGCTGCACCACTTCTCTTTTCCAGGATTTGAGACATGGATGATGGGAAGATCAACTTTAGATTCTTCCAGCAGGTCACACAGTGGCAGAAGTGCAACCACAGCCTGGAGCAAACACGTCTCCTCTCGGTCACGGGCCCACCCAGGGCAGGACACGCACCAGGAAAGGAGCAGGTCTGAGCTGGCAAAGGGATAACAGAGATTGGAGCAGCCTCTCCTTGCTGATATCAAGCACAGGCAGGCAGGATCCCTGCAGGGAGAGGAGCTGGGCAGGAAGCGGTCGCTGAGTCATGGGAAGGGCCTGTCCCTGGGATCGGCCCCACAACGGCCCCCGTGCAGGAGCAGCTGGCACTGGAACACCTGAAGGTATTCCACAGTTTAGCAAAAGGAGAGAAGGAGTTCTGGAAAGCTGTGAAACGGGCAAAGCCAAAGCTGGCCAAGCCCTGTTTGCACCCCATCCCGAAGGATGAGGGTCAACGCTCCAACAAACCACGAAAAGCTGTGATTCAAGAGGAGAGACCTGAGGAACATTATGTCAGGGTGCAAAATGTGGAGAAGGGGATGGAAAAGTAACTTTCCCACTTTGGTTACTCGTTGGGGTTTGTGCCTCATGGTACCCACACAGGCACAGCCACCCCCTTCCCACAGCCCCGACAGCCGAGTGTCCCAAACCCCATCCCGTGTTCCCCTGGCTGTGTGCTTCGAGATCCATGTTTCCCAGCTGGTGAAGAAAGCCCCAAAGGAAACTCTCAGCTACTAAAAAGGAAAGTAGAACGATCTCAGCACGGTCACACCCTCCCCTCAACGCCTCACACTGTCAGAACAAAAGCTCTAAAAAGCCATTTCCTGAAAGCGCAAAACGCTGCTCTGAGGCAGCGGGAAGGGCCATCCGTGCTGGAACACGGGCAAGGCAGGGCCTTAAAGCTCCTGACATCACCTTTCCCAAGTATTTTGAGGAGCACTTGTGGTCTCGTGCTGCCTGATTGACTGAACTTGTGCTCTCCAGCACGGAAGTGGCCACAGGGAGCGGAGCCAAGTAGAAACCCACTAACATCCACATCCTGATGGCAATTTTAGCCCTGCAAGCATTCAGCCCTCTGTTTAGATAAATATCCCTTGCTGGTTAGAGGAGGCTGAGCCAGCTGCATCCAGTGGGATCAGGGCTTGAAGTAAATCCTGATCCAGTTCAATAATTAGCAGTTTTATCTGCTATTTTAATCATCAGAGCGTGAACTCTGGCACAATAGGGACACTCCTGAGCCCTGGGTCAGCAGGACATGCCCCTGGCGCTGCCTCTCATTAGGAGAGGCCACGGATGGCATGTTTTCCTTGGCATCCTCCCTCTTTGCTCACTGCTGGAAAGAGCAAAAGCTTCCTTGGAAACTCCTCTTGACGTTGTAGAATCACAGAATTCCCTGAGTTGGAAGGGACCCACGAGGAAATCACTTCTTGCTTTAGTTTTCCAACCCCTGGCCCTGAACAGGACACCCCAACAATCCCACCNNNNAATTAAGAAAATATGTCATTATATTAATTATATTAATGATTAAATAACTATAACTATAAATCCCCCTTGTCCCTGAGAACATTTTCCAAACCCTTCTGGAGCTCTGGCAGCCTTGGGGTCGTGCCCACTGCCCTGGGGAGCCTGTTCAGTGCCCAACCACTCTCTGGGGGAAGAACCTTTTCCTGAGATCCAACCTAACCCTCCCCTGGCACAGCTCCAGCCATTCCCTCGGGTCCTGTCACTGGTCACAAGAGCTCGGTGCTTGATCCCTTAGTAATTCTGTGGTCCAGGAAACCTCCTGTCCCTTTAAAGACACCAAAGCATTTCCCTTTGGCTGTCCCAAGGGGGATTCCTTTGCATGTGCCACATGCCTGCCATAAAAATAAACTCAAAATTTGGTATTTTTGATGGGATGGGAGGATCTGTGGAAGTCAGGTCCCCCACACACAATCCCAAGGGAACACACACCGGGAGAAGATGGATCACATCCCCTGGAGACCCTGGAGGGATCAAGTACATCCTAGTGGAAGGTGTCCCTGCCCATGGCAGAGGGGTGGAATGAGATGGGCTTTAAGGTCCCTTACAATGCAAACCACTCCGGGATTCTGGGATTCCGTGATTCTGGTTTTGTGTTCCCGATGCCGCTTCCCTTGTCTCTGCTCCACGAGCTCAGAAGGAGCCGCCAAACCAGAATTACTTTCCTGCCAGCAGGAATCATGTGTGCACCCCCTGCTCCAGCGCCCAGGCTGGGAGGAACAGCCCTGCAGTGTTCCCTGTCCGAGCCTCTCAGTGCTCCCCGTCCCAGCCCCGCTGGCACATTCCCAGGAGCGCAGGGCTGGGACAGGTCCCGGCTGCGGGACCGGCCCGACGTGTGTGAGCAGGAGCTGCTCTGTGTCACCCGGGCGTGCCGGGACACGGCTCCCGGAGCACCGGGGACGGACGTGGGCGAGGGCTGCGCTTCCAGAGGGGTTGTCCAGGGCTGGAGTTTCACTGATTGGAATTACAGGGAGTGTCCGGAGAGAACACGGAGTTGTAAACGCGATGATGCATCACAGAATCACAGAGTGGTTTGGGCTGAAAGGGACCAAAAGGATGATGCAGTGCCACCCCCTGCCATGGGCAGGGACACCTTCCCCTATCCCGGGTCGATCCAAGCCCCGTCCAACCTGGCTTTGGACACTTCCAGGGATCCAGGGGCACCCTGTGCCAGGGCCTCACCGCCCTCACAGTGCAGACCCAGCATGCCCAGACAAGGATTTATCCCCACACATTCCCGGCTCTCTCCCGGTTCC